GTTTTAAAGAGTTCAGACACCTCCCTTTGGGTGAGAAACATTCAAATGTATCTATCAGGGATTGTTGTGACATTAGTTGGCGTCTACTTGTCAGATGGAGCTGAAATTAAAGAAAAAGGATTTTTCTATGGTTACACGTATTATGTCTGGTTTGTCATCTGTAAGTATCCAGGAATTGAAGGTTCTGGGTAGATCCTTTTTTTTAAAAAGTCAGATGTCCATTTTAAGCTCTTTTATAGCATTTTGAAATTGTTCCTTTGGTACTATGAACACATTTGAAAATGTAACTTGGGTTTTATTGACTTACTTTGTGGTGTAGCTATCACAAAGCAATTTTGCCTTCACAATCTAAAGTATCTAATGTGTTAGCAGTAAACAGGCAGTTTGTTAGTAGGCCACATAGCCCTTTGGGCAGGTTTAAAACAATGTTGTTTTGAAGGAACTACTCAATTTTAGTACAAACTTTCTCAGCTGGCTGCTTTTAAGAAAAATAGTATTTTCCTAGGTAAATTAGTATGGTACCTCTGGAGATGAAAATTGCCATCACAGAAGGTTTCATTTGAGTGCTAAAATTTTTCTTTCTCTATTCAAGTTCTTGCAAGTGTTGGAGGCCTGTACACTTCTGTTGTGGTCAAGTACACAGACAACATCATGAAGGGCTTCTCTGCAGCAGCAGCCATTGTCCTTTCTACGGTTGCTTCAGTGATGCTGTTTGGATTACAGATAAGTATGTCTTTGTGTTTTTAAGTTTTTTACAGGGAGGAGCTTCTCACTTCTTTAATTCATTTCATTTTTTATTAAATATGGCAGTTGGTCATAGTGTTCACAGGAATTCCTAGTTTTGTCACCATTTATTCTACGAGTGCAGCAGCTCATAGTTGAATGGAAAGTGGGTCAGCAGTACTCGGGTTGTTTATAAATGGTCCTAGAACTTAAGCTGAGGGGTGCTGGTTCTATGTGAGAGTTGAAGGGGCTGCTCAGGAACTAGAAAGAGTTTCTTGACACTCAAGGCTTGCCTGTTCCCCAGGTATGAGAAGACAGTGTAAGTGCTTCAGGTAAATCAGGGCAAATACAGAATGATGAGGTGCACAAAGAAATACAAGGACTTTAGGAAATGATTACTTTCTGCAGTGGAATTTGAGTAAACCAGGCTTTTTAATTTGAGGAAAGAACAGAAAACTTCTTCCACTTGCCCCTTAGTGTGCACCTTCCTGTTTTGGACTTGAGTGCAAACTGGTTTTGAAACTACAATCCAAATCTACATTTTTCTTCTCTTTTTTTATAAAGATACCTATTTCATTTAATATGTAATTAATACAAAATTCATTACTATAGCTGGCATTCTGGCACCATTAATGCTAGTCCTTCTAATAATTTTTCTGAGCCCACTTGCAGCATTAAGTTAGCTTCTGAATTATTTAAGCAGTGATAATGACTTAACATTCTGTAGTGCTGTTATACTGTACATAATTTCCCTTACTGAGCATTTATACCATAAATTAATGCATGAGGAAAACCTCAACATTAAGAGAAACAGACCTGGCCTATATTTATTTATACTTCATTTTAAAACTGACTCTTCTTATAAATGCAAATACACGAGCATCAACCTTGTAGAAATCTTAGAAAACCATTTTATAGTATGGCTCAAGTCTTGCCTATACCATTTATAGCTGTTTATCCTTGGGAAAGTTACTTAACGTGTGTCTTCAGTTTCTTCACCTGTAAAATGGGAATGCTAGTTGACCTGTCTCCTGGGGTTGTTTAAGGTGAAATGTTTAGAATAGTGTCTGGCACATCACAAGTACCCTGTATAAGGCCACTTATCATTTCAGTATCAGATATTTATAGGCCTCCCTTTAGATGTTTCCCTTAACTGATTTGGGTAAACTTTTAATTATAGTTCTGATCCATTCTTATTCTCAACAATTCTTATGCCTTTGATCCTAAGGAAAATTCTGGGAACTCTATCATATGTTTTTTGGTCAATGTTCTGTCTTACTGATGGTCAAGGAGTGGCTTAGCAGCTTCCCAGTTTCCTATTTAATTTATCCCCTCCCCCTTTTTTGAAGGCGAGGCTAGTCTTTTCTAGGTGGGGTGAACTGAAATAGCTGGATGTCATTTCTCTGCATCTCATGTTTAAAGCTTTTTAAGACTATGCCAGTGTATTCCATATAGAATATGGTTCAGTTTTGAATAAAATACAGTATTTTGATGTAAGTATTATAAAATGCCTACTTGTCAAGTTTGGACAAGTTGTCATTCAGATTGTAAACTGATTTTTAAGATTAAGATAAAAAAAAAAGACAAAGCTAGCAGAAAAGGAAGGAATTTTACTCAGTAAATCACCCCTCATCTCTTCTTACTTAGAAATCTTTAATGGTTTGAATCATTGGTCACCTAACTCTTTGAATTTTGCTCGACTACTTTTTACTCAAATTTTTCAAAGGCTTTTAGTATCATGGAAAAGCCACATTCCACTGCTTTTTCTGTTAACCAGCGCACAGAGGAGTCAGCATGTTCTTTGTCAAGGGCAAGCACACTGTGTTCTTAATGTGTGTATAAGTCGATGAGTGTCACTTCCTTAATTTTACCACTTTTTTTTGGAAGGGGGTGGGAGGGAGGCTAGAGTTAATGATCTTTCTGAACCTTACCATTGTAAAAAGAACACTTTGATGACATAAAAACCCACAATAGAAAAATTTCAAAATCTTGAATTGATCAATATTACATAGTTTTAAGGATGCAAATATAGATTAAGCTTATTAAGCTTTTTTTTTTTCTTTTCAGCACTTACCTTTGCCCTGGGTACTCTTCTCGTATGTGTGTCTATATATCTCTATGGTTTACCCAGACTAGACACTACATCCATCCAACAAGGGGAAGCCGCTTCAAAGGAGAGAGTTGGTGGTGTGTGACATCAGCCTCAGAAGAGATTTCTACTAAGATCCGGACTATTAGCATTAAACTAGAGCCTTAATTCAATCCCCAAAGGTAGTTAAAACAAACACAGTAAGTGAACCGGGTGGCATAAGATTTAAGAAAAAAGCTATCTGAGCAAATTGCTATCTGCTTGACTGTTCAGTGATTTAATGTGACCTGTTTGGGGTCAACCTGCTTTGTTTTAGAATGAAGGAATTTTATCATTGTATATATAATGTATATAAAAAGTAGGGAGATGATATGGTATTGAATATTGTAGCCTCATGTGATTTTTTTAAGTAACACGGTTTGGGACAATGTTAAGGGTCAAAGTGCCAAAGCCATTTCTGTACTAACCGTTCTCTTGTTCAGGTGCCAGGGGAGAAGGATGCCCTTCCTTGTTCTCAAATTCAGGGACTGTACTTGGTCCCAGCAGCAGTAAAGACTGAGCTCTTGTCTTACAAACAAGCAGGCTAGTTCACAAACAAACTGAATGTGTACCTTCTCAAACTGAATCTATTTCCTGACTCAGACAGTGGTTTCTGGGTGGTGACTAATTACTTCTTTGAAGTACTGCATTTGTGCCATTCATTGTCTGGATTCATATTTCTTTGCTGTTAGATGATATACTTTTCTTCAAAGAAGTATTTCTAATGTCACTTTTGTACTTTTTTAAATAAAGTATGTTTAACTGTTGGGGCTCAATAATTTGAGTTTTTAAAAAAATTTCTATAATGTTAATGGGGGAATTCAGCAATAAATATTATTTATTTATATGATATCTGTTTGATTTTTTCTGTATTATAGAAATAACCATTAAAATAATGCAAAAAAGCATAAAAACCCCAAAACATTAAATTTTTAATTTTCTCTATGTTAGAATTTTATCAGAGTTCTTATATTGCAAATAGCAGCTATAAACCAACTCTGGTTAGCCATAAGCAAAAAAAGTTTACAAGAAGGACTGCGATTAGAGCTTTGGACTGTGGAGGGAGCTGCTTTTGGAAAGACCTGTCTCTAACCATCACTGTCCCTGTGTCATTTCAGTCAAGATTCAAATGCTGAGGAAGCTACCACAAATCTGGGAAGGGGACTGTTTCTCCAAAGACATGGACAGGGGTAATGGACATGAAAAACATGTCCCAATCATACATTTTTATTCCATGGCTAGTTTCTAATAAGGGAACCTTAATGGTGCTGTAAGTAGAAAATTAGAAGTCGGGAAGCTAACTCACCTCTAGGACTAAGAAGGTATACCATACTCGTCAGTGCAGAATAGGGTAAAACTGTTCATTCAACTAAAGAAGCTTTGGTTCATGCTAATTAGCTTCTTTCTTCATAAAAATACATGGTCATTGGTATTCAGAAGACCTCTGGCAGCAACATGTTGAATAAATCATGGCGGACTTGAACAGAAATACTGGAAGAGGACAGCCAGACTGACCCAAGAGGTCACGCCCTGCTCGTGTCACCCACACAGGCCACACAAGGTGTGCTTTACCAATATGCAGGTACATGAAAGAAACAGCTTAAGACACTCCCATTCCAAATTATGATTTCACTAATGGACTATTTTTACAAGAAAACCCTAATACCCGAACAAGTAATTCCTTGTCATTCAACATATTCATTTCCTGAGTTCACGAAGTAAGAGTTGTGTATAGAGGCGTTCTCTCGTATTAGTTGTCAGCTGAACTGGCAAAATAAAGGCTTAATTTTGGTTTCCTTAGATTTATTCAAAACTACCCATAATTATAAGAAAATTGGGATTTTTTTCCTCATCAATTTTATTTGATGAAAATGTTAGATAATATTACTTATAATAATAGTTTCTGGAAGAATGACACTGTTAAGAAACCTCAAGCTAGAGTTTAATTCTTTATCCCCATTAGAACACAGTGAACTTTAAAAGATTTAACTTAGTTGTATAGAAGTCTATTTAGTACTTACTGATCATGAGGGGACTCAAATGACCTTTTTTAAGGATAAAGACTTGCTAAAATCAACTTCTGATACAGACTAATAGTTCAAATTCTATTCTAAACAGTAAGGCATATGAGAACAGATAGTAGAATTCATTTGTATTTAAGAAGCCATTTTAATTAGAAATTACATCCTACAGACAGGTGTTATTCCAAGGAGTTTCATTCCACTGGCTAGGACAGAACGGACAGCTCTGAAAAGATGAAGTCTGGCCTACAAAATAAAGAATGATCAAACATTCAATTCAACAACAGGCTAATTATAAATGAATAAACTGAATGTCGTAATGTAATTCTAACTTCCTTCTAATTTAAAGTAGGAAGAGCATCTCAAAGGGTACTAGGGTTTGCTCTAGGCAAGGGATGGCAAATCCCTCGCAGCCCTATGGGAAGACCGCTGGCCAAGGGCCAGGAGTGACAGTGTCATCCTAAGAGCATCCAGGTAGGGGACTCATCACGCACTGTGACTTAGGAAAATGGGTTTCATACTCTAGTACGTTGGAAAGTATACAAATATTGATTGTCACAGCCCAATTCCTGAGACTAGTTCACAAACAGGATACCAGAGATCACAGAAAATACTGAACATACCCCAGCCACTTCAGGAGGACTGTCTTTTACGTGCAGTGTTTTGTGTGCCACAGCTGCAAGATGACTGAGACGAGAAGAGAAATGATTAGGACCGTCAGGAATCTCCTCTTGTAACATGTAAGCTTGACCTCTAACCTCATTCCCTCACCAAAAGGAAGTCAAAGCCTAGAGCCTAGAGCCATTAAAGGATGTGTCCAAACTTGGCAAGTCAAGACTGAAATTCACTACCTTACTGTAACAGGCAGAGTAAAAACACAGGAAACTCACACTTCAGATTTTGGCTCTGGTTCTATTGGTATTAGGTGGTAAATTCTTAAGGTTATGTTTTCGTTAGTTTTACAGGTATAGGGGATTCCTTTCTAATAAGTAGTTTTTCCTCATTTAGGCATCCTTTAAGATGAAAAGTGTACCATGGCCTGACTTCCCCTCTGTATGGTGAAGAGGTGAATAAAGATTCGTTACTAGTCTGCTCTACACATACACTGGCCAGTCTTTAAAGCATCTTTTCTGTTTAGGTATTACGGCAGCAAGTAAAACAGTGTGCCAGAGAATGATGCTTATGATACTGGTTTCAAAAGACTTTCTGGTTTCTTGGTCTAAATGGAATTTAAAGGAAAAAAAAAATTACTTCAATCTGGGGAAGACAAGATAAGAAACAATAAAAAAAACATTTACAAAAAATCTCTGATTTCAGTAAATCTGGAGTAAAATCAAATGTTTCTTTTCTCACACAACTTTAAAGGAATATATAGCTGTTGCTATTATAAAAGAAACTGACTAGAAGTTAAGTCTAAACTAGCGACCATGAAATCATCCCTGACTTGCCTCCCAATTCATTCTCTGCCCTCAAGCTGATACCTTCTGTGCCTCTGTGTAGAGCCTCTTTACGGACCCCACTGCTTTGAAAATAAGTCAGAACACCGCAGTGCATGGCAGAAGGCCTGCACACACTTCATCTCTCATGCCTCCCGTGACCATGCTTGTAGCTCCTTTAATGTAATGTTCTTGCTCAACTCTGGGCTGTTTCTGCCCTCTCTGCCGCCTTACTCCTCTTGCTTAGTATCACTCCTTTCCTCTAAGAAGCCCTCTCTGACCCCTCAAGGCTGGGCTGCGGGCCCTGACACTGTGTCTTACACCCACTCTGTCCTAACACCTGGGCACTGTCTGTCACCACCGGTGATAAAGCTGTTGGTTCCTGTTCAGTGGACTGTAGTGAACATACTTATCACCGATGAATAAATGATCATTAATTGCTAATTTGTAAAGAAAAGCAAGAATTCCTAGAACTTAAAGCACATTTTTTAGGCCAAGGGATTGTTTATAGGAAAACCTGAGATGAAAAGTCCTTTGTTCTTAGATCAGGTCTTAAATGTTTTAAAAATGTTTTAAATGTTTTAAAAATAGCAAGAGTATAAAGTACCTTAGAGTTAGAAGGTAGCTGACAATGTGCCTGGGTTGAAGGTCCTGAGATGATCTATAAAGCACCTCGTCGAACCTAAATAAGATGACAGGAGCAGTTGGCAGGGAAGACTGTGCACATATTACACTAAGATGTTAAGACAAAGATCTTGGATGTAAGGTTGACTTGACGTCATTAAGTGTGAAGGTATATGAAAAAAGACCTTGTGTGCATTTGAAGGTCAAGGCACATTTTCTTTTCTTGCAAATTCTTTGATGGTAGTTGCTTTCTGTGACATTTAATATCCCTCAGGATTAGCCCAGAGCAAAGATTCAATTCATGGCTATTAAACTGAATGTAAAAAGCCTTTAGCCACATTCGGGAACATAGTCTAGAAATTAGCAGTCAGACTCTTACCTTCAAGATCAAGAAAACCAGGCTGGCTTATCTTTCCCAATTTAGTCGAAGGTGAAGCAACTAAGTCCTGATGCCAGGAAAGAACCACTGACCATTGAGTGGCAATTAGAGAAAGTGGCCTTATAAACACCTCCATCCTCGCCAGCAATGCTTGTGAGAGCTCAAACGTGTGGGCTCTTGCCCAGTGTGGGCCTATCAGGTAAATACTTATTTGAACCATCAAAAAGACTTACGATCTTGGGGAAGTTATACAAAGGCAGGGACTTGCTTTCACTTATTACTGAAGGTGCAAGATGATCTTTTCCAAAACCTTTCAGGTTATGCTTTTCCCAGGCTTCACACTCTCATGCCATGATCTCGACAATGTTAGGCACCGGTGCTAATTCAGTGGTGATAGTATCTTTAAGACTCAAGGACTGACCTTGAGCATGCCCTCTGTCTGCCCTTTGAGGCCATACCTTCAGGAAAATTCTGTTTAGAGGCAGGAGGCAAGAGCTAGCTACTAGCCTGTTCATTCCAGGGATCAGCAAACTGCCAAGAGTCGTTTCACTGAGCAGAAGTCAAGCCGGTAACACTAGAAAACCATACCTGAGAAGATGCTGGAGTATCGAAACAGACTGTGGCTCTTGTAAGCAAGCAGGGTTGAAGTCATTCAGATAACCACACCCAAAAGTCTCTTCCAGACTGTTCTCAAAAGTTTAAAAACAACAAAGGATCAAACAGTCATTAAAGGACACATAATACAAATGGTGAACACCATCTCATAATACAGTCTTGTTCTCCTCAATATAGCCCCAGACTTTGAAGCTAACATTGAAGCTAACCTGATGCCTCAGTTTTTCCAAAATCTGTTTCTTCATCTGAAAACAGAGTATATTCTTTGGCAGGGTTATTCTGATTGAAGGTAATACACATAAAAGCATTTCTTACGAGGTGCTCAAAATAAACATTTTTTTAAAAACCCACAAAAACCAAATACAGTAGGCAGTCCCCTGAACTCCAAGCAGTATCACCTATGAGATGCTGGAGAAAGCCGGGGGTGGAAGGACAGAGCCTCCCCTCACCTGTGCAGGCGGGCATGCGTGTACTGGAGGAAGACTCCGGTGTCCCCACGACTCTGGAGAGCTCGGTCCCAGCTGAACTGATAGTCAGATAAGAGTAAGCCCCTGAAGTCCTAAAATGAGAGAGTAAATACTCAGCACTGGGATTTGTTCTCGTATCGAACAAAAGGGTCTCCTGGGGAGCAGTCTTAGCAGACCTGAATAATGAGTGCTGCGAGGCCGACCCTCTCGGCAGTCTCCCGGGGGCTCTCCAGTTCTCTGGTGGCTGAAACAGAGGCAGCTCTTTACCCCGCGTGACAGCGCAGAACGGGAGACCGAAGGGGAGACAGACCTGCCAAAAATGTGGGCTGACGGTACCAAGAACAAACAGGCTCACAGCGGGCAATTTACTTTCCTCATTTGAGCTCATTCACCTTTGATAATGACAATCCCCTTGTCGACATTAAAAAGGAAGAAACATAAATGTATTTTTCTTATAAATACTCCTTGTAAGACATCAGATGCAGCTGTTACTTATTTTTCTATGGGTGAAGGCTAAACAAAGCCATACGGACTTGTGACTTGTTTCCAACTATGTAGTACGGAAACATCACATAACCAACAATGGAATGTCCCTGAGAAGAGACCCAGAGTTGAATCGGTTCAGATCAAGGAAGCAAAGAACACCCCTGGGCAGCAAGTCTAAAACTTCAGGCACCACTAATGAATGCAAGCTTTTGTTGACAAGGTTAGTGAAAGTCCAGCAAAATGTGTAAGAGTGGCGTGTAAGTTAGGACTTCAACAAAAAAGTGGATTCACTTTTAGTAAAGGCCATGTTTTGTAGCATCCTTAATTGAATCTCATTTAAAACATCTTCCAGAAAAGTAACATCTCCTCTTCGAGTCTTCATTCCCTGCACCACTCCAAAGGGCACATGCCGGCACCTGAAATCAAGTGGGCAGCTCGTTAACGGAAAAACCAAAAAAGAGGTGGTGATCATATATAATAGCCTTTGAGACAGTAGTTTGACCTTTTAGAGAGGGGTTTTAAAAAATTAATAAATTGAAATGTGTAATTTGTCACAGGTGTTAAACACACAGCTTAATTTTTCAGAGATAACTAGCCTGTGATTAAACTACTAGTTGCCTTTATGAAAAAAGGAGATGGGGATAATTCTGAAAAGGAAGCCATTGAGAGCAAATATCTAATAAAAACATGTTTCTCAAATGTTTATAAGCTAGAAATTGATATAATCAGGACATAAATTCATGCAAGAAATAAACATCTTTTCCATACTAACATCTTGAAACAAAGAAATGAGGTCTGAATGAAAATCTTTAACAACTTGCTAAATTTTTGGACCCGGTAAACCCAGCAACTCTTCATTGATCCTGAGCAGGAACTTAAGAACCACACTGATGGCATTACCTTTCTGCCCAGTCATATCCCATCATCTGCAGGATCTGGAACACTTGCTGAAAATGCCTTTTTTGCCCTTTATCTGTCTTGGGGAAAAAAAAATATTTAAAATGAAAAGAACAGTGATAATCTATAAAAATAGATTGGATACGAATCAAAATACACTGAGTTTTTAGTATCATTGCCAATTGGTGTATTTTAAATAAACACACAGGAACGTGAAGTGAGAAGGAAGTCTAAGCTGTGCGCCCTACGAGAGGAGGAGGCCAGGGCTGCAGCCCATCAGTGCATTGGGGGGAAACGGGGAATTTTATCTTCTGAGTATTCTTTTCAATGAAATTCCTTTTCTCTTAAATGTTATAGCTTTTATCTCCAGCAAGGCCAAAGCTAAGCTGTATTAAGATATTTAATGGCAACTTCTTCTCTTTAGGAGAAAGGGAGGCTGCACATGGTAAGGAGGGGAAGGAGGACAACTGGACAACCACCACGCAGCCAAAGAACAGACTACTGATCCGGGCAACAGCTCGGCCAAGCCTCTGGGCATTCATTCACTGTGCCGAGTGAAAAGGGCCGGGCTCAGGTGACCGACCGGGATCTCATTGGCACAACATTCTCAGAGTGACAAAACTGAGAGATGAGGAACAGAGCAGTGATTGCCAGGGGCAGAGTGAGGGGAAGGTATGGTTATTAGGGGTGAGGGTGGGGGGCAGTGTGATGATTAAAGTGGTTGCAACTAGGGAGTTTCTTTTGTGAGGGAACAGTTCTGTGTTCTGAATGCGGTGATGGTTACATGAATCTAAGTGTGATAAATTTCATAAAAAATAAAACCACACACACACACACACACACACACACACACACACACACACACACACACACACACACACACACACATATCCAGGCCCACACACAGCGCATGTAAAGATTGGTGAAAAAACTAAGGTCTCTACCAATGTCAGTTTCCTGGTATTGACAAGTATTGTGGTATGTAAGGTATTATCTGGGGAAGGCTGGGTTAAGGGTATATGAAAACTGTTCTGTTTTGAAACTTCTTGTGTCTTAAAAGTATTTAAAATAGAAAGCTTTTTTTAAATTGCCTTATAGTGACCTATACATATTCATTTTCCATAAACATTTTCCTGATTTGGGTATTTTTTTTACTATGAAACAGTATCATTTCTTTTAATCATTGTGATTGCCATCTTAAATACACTTACCAGAATTTTCTCAACAGTTTGACAAATTATTTTTCCATAGTTTTCAACATGGCATCCAATTTTTATCTTTGTAGTTGTCATGAGGTAGAGCTCATAACTTTTGTTTTTTATTGTGATGACTTACCACATAAATCATTGTATCAAAATTATACTTGTCCATTCGATCTATAGCAGCTGCAAGATCTCTGGGGAAAAAAAATCCTGTAAATTATGAATTACTAAGCAGAGTTGAGTAATAATTTGCTTTACCTATGTAATAGTAATCAGGGTTTTCCAATTAAGGACTCCTACTACCTGACAGCCTGACGTATGCTGCCCAAGCTTAGCGAAGCCCAGTACCACACTCCTGATGCAAAGCTCTAACAGAAAGAGCTTTGGGAAAAACACTAGTAATAAAAATGGTGTGAGAAGATTAAAAAAAGTAAATAAAAGCTCTGGGACAAGTGGTAGTAACAACTCAAAATGGCTCTAAGCAAAGTGTCAGCAGGTAAATATTTTATGATTTACTAATTAACACTCTACTGGAAGAGTCACCTAATTGTCACCTTTCTGCAATACTTAAAACACAGGAGTGCTCTTGTGGCTACTCTTACTAGTCCCACCAAAGACTTCCAGGGCCTTAGAATGATCACAGCAATACCTCGGAAGACAATCAAGTCCTCTGACAGAATTCCACATATCTCTTTTATCTCTGATTAAGTACAAACAACTCAGTTTGCAAGTAGCATAAAATAATGAAAAATAAACCATAAACTATGATATTTTAAGCCAAAATTATGAAAATATTGAAACTCAAAATTAAAGCTATTTTTGGTTAGTCATAGGACAGTGGGAGGATATACAAAGCCCCAGAGCTTCTGTAACACTGCAGCTCATCGAATGGCCTCCGCACCCACCTCCCGATCCTGGCCTAACCTGGAGCAAGCCTGCTCAATGGAGGCAAACACCGGCTCTCGAGGAACAAAACAATCTCACCCTTTATGTATAAAGCACACATCCGCTTACAATACATGCATACAGTCTATCTGTGCTACTAAAATTCCACGACGGTGGACCAGTAGGAAAAACATGGCTAAAAGCTCCTGGGAGGGGATACAGTAATAACACCAGAAGGTGATGAAACATCGGGATAGAAGATCATCCCCCAAATAAATTCACAAATATACACCCCAGTATATTTTTTTGGCTTGAGCCAAGGACAAAATGAGAGTCTTTGATCCAATGAAAGAATACATGATAAGAATATAAGAAAAAGTTCTAGGCTGAGTTTGTGGAACCTGACCTTGAAAGCCAGAGACATTTAGTTCAGGTCCCTCATTTCACAAAGCAGGGACCGAAGGCCCATAGTTTCTGAACAGAACTCCAGTTCTCCAGCCTCCGCCTGCGCTCAGCAGTATTCCCCTGCACTGCTGTTATTACCACTCCCTTAATTCACATCCACACACGCAGATGTGTCTCACATCAGGAACCCACTGCAAGGGCGGAAAAACCACAGTTGGAGCACGGAGAAAAACCAAGTATTTCAACAAATTTGAAAATTGTTGAACAGTTGTCAAAAGAGAGTTACTCTCCCCAACGAAAAAAAAGAGAACATACAGGCATTAATACACAGAAAACCCTCGACCTAGTAATAGCCCCAAAAAGATACATCAGCACATAGAGTGTTTATGATGTGATGCCTCTATTCTGAGTGGACACATTTCTTATAACCATTGCTCAAGGGTTTCTTTATTTAATCTGTTGAACAATGATTACCTGGCACAAAAAATCTTCTCCTGTATATATATTTTTATCTAGAAAAAGAAATGTATGTCTTAGATATACAGGTTCTTCTTACTTCCTAATCCCATGAGTACGGAACTGATAAAGGCAAATGCCAAAAAACAAGAAATTAGGAATCTTCCAGGAGACAGCAAGAGAGCTTGATAGTTGAAGGTGTTTGGAACAAATGATGGTAAGGCGACAACAATAATACAATATCATTACTTTATGCTACAAAAGTGGTTTGTGATCCATCGTCAAACCCTGACCTGGGAGGCACTGTAGCCCTCGGCTGGCAGTGCTCTGAGTATGGCTGTGTTTGCTGGTGTGGCTTTTCTACTATCCTGTTTTCTCCTTCCTATTGGCTTTGTCCCAGAAATACGTGTGCTTGACAAATGTAGTTTTTATTGATTAAAAAGACTGCTGCTTTCCACAGGGGTCAGTCACGGAGACAGATGAAAACAATATGAGCAATATGGCTTACTTCTCCCTTGGCCTACTTTATTTCTGTGCGTGTAGGAGGGTCTTTACACAGGACACTCCTGACGCACACGGCCATCTTCCAGTATACATTTCCTGCTAATGTGCATTTGTAAAACATTTATAGTTGATTATGAGATACCTCAGTTTTATAGTTTGTAAAACAATGTATGAAACTGTAGAAATCCTACAATGTTTAACTCATTGTGAGTAGTTTTTCAGTCACTTTTCTGATATTAACCCTTTCCAGAAACTGTTGGCAATATATGTATTTTGAATGATGAGAACAAGGATTTAGAAGCTTGGAATTGTTAACAGCTTTGAGGATAGAATGATTGTCTTAGCACTGGTCCTACAACAAAGAATATGAAGTCACATACGTATCTTAATGGGGACTTTCATGTAAGATACAAACCTGGTTGCATAAAGAGAAGTCCCATCACTTCGCCTTACAGTACAAATTGAGGGGTCACCGTTCCTAGAAAGATCCACCACAGCTGTTCCTTTTCTAGAAATGCAGAAAGGTAATTCTGAAGCAACATAATAAATCAAGACCTTTGAGAGTATAGTATCTACAACATTATCTTGGCAAATCAGAAATATTTTCAATGCATAAGTAGGAATAAGCAGTGTAACCAAAAATAAAGAAAAATGAGGGGTTTTGACCCTGAATCTAATAAGAATGGGTATGATATAATTAATATTTGCAATTAAGATTCACCTTTTTAAAAATCTGTAGCTCTGGCTAAGGTACTTGCATAAAGTCTTTAACATAGCCAGGTGAAAAATGAGATTTCAACTGCACTTTTAACCATGAAATATTATATTCTTCTTCTAATTCAAATTATTATAACATTCAATATTGGCTAATTTTTAACATGCCAGAAAATACCCTTGATTAATAAAACCATGGAATTTTGTTAGTCTTTCCTGCCTGATCAAAAATTGGAATCCAAATCAGGCCATGTGAGAGTTTTCCATAAGGACATGACTAAGGATGTTCCGGACCACATCCTCCATGTCCTTCTCTGGGAGGAGGGTGAGCGAAATCGCTCCGGTAGAGAAGCGGCCCTGCTAGGCACGGGCTGCTTTGCCGCCTCATCCATGGGCCTGGGCTCCTGCGGCTGGCACTGCTGGTTTGCCCGGCTGGCAGCTCCAAGCCGAGGGAGAGCCCGGCCTCAAGCACGAGAACCATCCCCGTCTCACACGGTAACTCCAGGGCCACCCTGATTTCATGGCATTTTTTCTTTCCCTGCTTCCTGATTTCCTCATTTTATTTATCAGAAAAGCCTGTTGTATTATGCCTGTTTTCAAAAGCTGTCTTAAGTCCTTTTTGAGCAGGAAAGGATTTTTTTAAAAGACAAGGCTGAGTAAGAAGACATGAATGTATTCCCTTCTTTCAGTTCTCTGCCACAACCAGCCAGCCTGTGCAACCTTAGGCAGCCCACTGCGCTTTCTTAATTCCTAGTCCCACCAGGAATTTGCCTCGCATGTAAAGAGTAGGTGGCATTGTTTCTCCCAACATTGCCAGGACTGAGTTATGGCAGCAAAAGACAGCATGTGGGAAAGTACTCTGAATAGCAAAAAGCACTATTAAAAAATGCCAGGAGGCTGCACACCATGTTCCGTTTTCCTGAGAGAATACTTCAGTACCAGTTCCAAAGAACAAATAACCTTACTAAAGAACAGTAACCTGACCGTACATTGTTTTCTGTAGGAGTCCTTTACTGTCCAGCAACTGTAAAACTTCTTGAGATTTTTCACGGTAAAATGATTCTCCTGAGTATTCATCAAAGTGTACTCCTAGCCGCTGAAGGAATTCAGAAACAAAAGAAAAAATGAGTTACATAAATGTCCTACTATTTTACCCTAAGACAAAATAGGATGCTTCTGCAGTCGGCCACACAGATGGGAAAATCATGGGATCAAGTCACCCCTGTGCTCAAGCCTTCCAATGGCTCCCCACACCAGCCAAGTCCGGGCAGTGGTACAGTGCTTCCAGTATGACAGCTGCTAGGCATAAAATTCAGTTTTTCAGTCACACTGCTCATACTTCACATGCTCAGTAGCCACACGGGGCTAGCTGCTATCACGCTGGCAGCATGAGTGCATTTCCACCACAGCAGGACGCCAGACTGCACAGCCCTGGAAAATGTCCTACCTCACGCCCCACCCCACAACCGCGACCTCCCGTGCTGCCTGTCTTGCTTCCTCAGCCCAGCCACATGGTTCCTCTACTGGCTCTCCTCGCGGCATCCACAGGCAGCACCCCTCATTTACCCTCCCATGCTTCGTTTTTCTCCACAGCATCACCATCTAACAGACTATGTATGTTCTTGTTTAATTCATACTGTCTTTAATATTTGAGTCACTGTCTCCATGCTAGAGTGTAAAGTGCGAGGACTTAAGTGTATTTTATTCCGTTATATTTCTCCTACCCCCTACAATGTTTATAAAACAAATTTACACCCATCACATACATGCCTAAGGAAGCAAAAGAAGAAAAAGTAATTAAGGAAAAGGAAAGAAATGTGAGGAGAGAAAAGCAAAGCCAGACTGAAAGAAGTATCTGAATGTCACCTGGGGTTCGGCCTGTGAAGTTCACAGGCTTTAGGATTATTTCTTAGTTCTAATTTTCAGCTCAAAGAACCATTACTGAGTCTTAATTTTCAACTCAATGACAAATATACTCTTAAGACAGGAGCTTAAGAAGGAGCTTCACTACCCAGTAGCACCCAGTCAAGAGCTGCACGTCACAGGACAGGAGAGCGGACGGGCACCTTGTAGATCCGGACGTACTCTTCGATGCTCAAGGCCCGGAACTTCTGCCACAGGGCAAGTGCTTGTGTGTCACCCAGTTCCAATCGCTGGAAGAACTCATGTGCTAATTCTGCTATACTTTTATCATCTGCTGCTTCTTTATTAACTTGCACATAAACCTAAAAGCACAACAGTACATTAAATGAAGCACAGTACTAGTCACTGTTAGCTTCAACAAAGAAAACAAAATTCAATCCTGATAATTCTCAGTTAAAAGCTATCCACTGCCCTCATTAGACTGTAGCCTGCTTTTCCCCCCCCCATGGCCCCTTCGTGAACCCTATAGATCCCTTTGCAAAATGATTTTAAATGGATAAAGTAAAATACACAGGACTGCAAGGTAAATAATTACATTGAAATACAGTTATCTGAATATTTTATCAATTTTGTGATGTAGTAATGGAGGAAAAGGCTAAGTTTCTAATAGAGGTAGTGAAAAATAACATGTAATTTTTTTCTTGCCATTCAAGTTCACAGAAACTTAGGTTAAGGTTAAGAATGCCTGGTTTAGATTAAGATAGCACTTATTTACAAAAGAAAATATCAAATTATTATTGCTGCAACTTCTCTGAGAAAAGGTGGAAGAAAGTAGGATGGTTCAATCTTGGAAAGAAAAGGTCACAGGATGATTTAGCAGTTGTCTTAAAGACTTTTCAAACTGTTTTCTAATTCCACAAAAGACCAGTAAAATAGGCCATCTAGAAAGAACTTTCAGATAGTTGCTTAGTCGCACTACACTTGGGCCCTGAGGAGGTGTGGGGCGTTCACCCAGGAGGGTTTCTGAACCACGTATCTGGGCCGGTTTAGTTCTGAACCCACCCAATGACAAGAGCGGAGACGGATGGCTTATTCAGGGCTGTTCCAGTTCCAGGACTCTGTGCCCCAATGCAGGTATTGATCATTTTCCCGTCTCCAAAATGCAGGTTAATAAATCACATTGAAATATGAACATTATAGCTCAAGGGGTATTGAAGTGCTTTATGAAGTTTCACTTACACGCTGTAACTCACTTCTGGGGTGAAACATGATCAATTTCCTATCTTCATATTTTTTCCAGAAAACTGTTAAAGTAGCAGGAAAGTAATAAAAATTGGCAAACTACCAAAAAAATATGAAGCCTCTAAACACAGTAATACCATCAAAATATGGCAGCAGCATTTGGGTTAGACAAAGGGGTTTTATTGCTGGAATATATTGGGACAACCATAATGTGGCTTCTCCGTACTGGATTCTCCCGACAAAAGGGAGAGGGCGTTAAACATCTACCTCGAGGTATCAATGTCTCGGCTTTCATGGACCGCTTGTGTTATATCCTTAAATGGAAGAACTGCATGAATAAATACTCCTAAATCAAGGTTAAAACTATCTAATTTATTTTTCCACTTTAAAACATATCGGGTAGAAAAGAGTTAATATAGCAGGCTTAATTAAGACTGCTATCCTTAAAATGGCCTGTTTGCAAAGGTAGCCAGTGATCGGCATCTGGGAACTTGGATTTTGGGAATGTTCCCACCAAACTGACTGGTAAGAGTGGCTCACTGTGCCTCAAGTGCAAACAAGATACTTTGTGTTAAACACCTGCTTTCCTTCGGGAGTTTGCAGTTTTTAGGACATGCTCAGCAGAGTGAACCTATGCATCAAACTCCGGTGGAAACCCTGGGCCCAGAGCACCCAATGAGCTTCCCTGGTAGACAACATTCCCACACGTTCCCACTTGTCCAGGAGGAATTAGGGGCACCTTCTGTGATTCTGCTCTGAAAGGACTCTGGGGAGCGTGGGCTTCGCTTCCCTCTGGCCTTGGCCCTACATGCCTTTCCTTTCTGCTGTTTTGCTTTGCAACCTTTTGCTGTCATGAATCAGCTGTGAGTTTATAACTACAAGCTTAGTCCTTTGAGTCGTCCTAGTGATTCACTCAACCTGGAGATGAATATCATAAAAAATTAATTTCCACGTCCTATAAGTCAGAAAACAGAGAAAGAATATTTTGGTAAGGTGTAAGTAAATAGAGTTACTGTAAGATAGTAAAGTAAAGATTTCCTGATTTTGAATGACCTATCCATTTTTCAGCTGCTTCATAGTCCAGACCACAGGAGTAAATACAAAAATACGTCTACAAATGGTTTGTGATTTCAAACCTCTCTCTCTCACACATACATACATGCACACAGTTTGTAAGGAAAAAATATACACACAATATCATTTTCAGAAGAGGAGAGGTTTTATTATTTTTATTTTCTATTGCAGTATCATTGATATACAATCTTATATTGGTTTCAAGTATCCAACACAGTGGTGCAACAGTTACACATATTACTAAATTCTCACCTCACCACTAGTGCAGTTAATACCTGTCAACACAGGGACATGTCACAGACTCATAGGCTATATTCTCTGTGTTGTACTAACATCCCCATGACCAACTTATATTATGACTAAGAATTTTTGAACCCCTTTATCTCCCTCTTCCCCCGCTCACCCATTCTGAACCCTCTTCCATGGTAACCACCAGTCACTTTTCAGTGCCTTTGCTATTTTGTTGGTTTTGTTTTGTTTTGTTTTTAGATTCCACAAATTAAGTGAAACCATATGGTACTTGTCTTTCTCTGTCTGGCTTATTTCACTGAGCATAATACCCTTTAGGTCCATCCATGCTGTTGCAAATAATAGGGTTTCTTTTCTTTTTATGGCTGAATAATATTCCATTATGTATATATACCACCTCTTCTTTATCCATTCATTACTGATGAACACTTATGTTGCTTCCATACCTTGGCTACTATAAATAATACAGTGATAAACATAGGGATGCATGCATCTTTTTGAATCAGGGATTTTGTTTTCTTCATGTAAATTCCTAGAAGTGGAATTACTAGGTCATATGGTATTTCTATTTTTAGTTTTTTGAGGAACCTCCATACTGCTTTCCACTGCAGGTGCACCAATTTGCATTCCTACTAACACTGTGGGAGGGATCCTTTTCCTCCACAACCTCATCAACACTTGTTATTTCTTGTTTTTTGGATAGAGGCCATCCTAACTGGTGTGAGGTGATATGTCATTGTGGTTTTGATTTGCATTTCCCTGATGATTAGTGATGTGGAGCATCTTTTCATGTGCCTGTTGGCCATCTGAATTTCTTCAATGGAAAAATGTCTGGTCAGGTTATCTAATCTGTTCAGGTTGTTTGTTTTTTTGGTGTTAAGATATATGAGTTCTTCATATATTTTGGATGTTAAGTCCTTATCAGATGAGTCGTTTACAAATATATTCTACCATACTGTAGGGTGCCTATTTGTTCTGCTGATGGTGTCCTTTGCTGTATGGAAGCTTTTCAGTTTGATGTAGTCCCACTTGTTCATTTTTGATATTGTTTCCCTTGCCTGAGATGTGTCCAGGAAAAAAACTGCTCATGCTTATGTTCAAGAGAATTTTGCCTATGTTTTCTTCTGAGAGTTTTACGGTTTCACGACTTACATTCAGGATTTTGATCCATTTCGAGTTTACTTTTGTGTGTGGAGTTCGACAGTAATCCAGTATCATTCTCTTGCATGAAGCTGTCCACAGTTTTCCCAACATGAGTTATTCAAGAGGCTGTCTTTTCCCCATTGTGTATTCATGGTCCCTATATCATATATTAATTGACCATATATGTGCAGGGAAGCACCTTGAGGCTGAGCTGCTACTGTAGGGGGATGGAGCATTTGGGGCTCCTTAGATACCCAACCTATTGGGCCAAAGGAGGGCTGGGGAAGTGTCATCCACATGCTCTTTCTGCTGCGGAGGGAGATCCGTCCAACCCTCACCCCTCTGGCATTCTTCCCACTGCTGGCAAATCTTTCTAACTGCTGCCTGTTTTGGGTCTCAGTGGGACCAGTGGAGCATGCCTGTCCTCCACAGTGGCTGGAGTGTCCGCCTCCCACAGTGCTCCAACTCCCCCTGGTGTTCAGGCCCACTAATCATCAGAACCCGATGCGATGCGGGCTCTGTTCCCAGAGCAGGTCTCCAGGGCCGGGTGTGCAGAGCTCCCAACTGGCTATTTCCCCCTGCTCTGTTCCTCTTCCTTCAGCCCATGGGCTTGGGTCCTGCTCTATCATGTCTCTGCCACTTCACCCTTCTCTGCGTGGTCCTCTCTTCACCAGGTACAGGTGGGCTCTTCTGGAGCCTCGGGCTGTTTTCGAAGTTACTGTGTCTGGAGCTGTTTCCTTGGTGTGTACATGCGAGGAGGTTTCTGCCTTGCTTTCCTAATCCACCACCTTTTCTCCCCTCCACAAGAGGAAAGGTTTTATGTTGTTTTTAATCTAGAACTCTAAATTCAAATAATAAGCACATTTAAAAATTGAATATATTCAAACTACTGGTAAGAATATTTTTAGAAAAAACTTCACTAGAATCTTTTGCCTTTATGATATACAATAGAAATAATTAAAATAAAACAAAAAACCCCTAATACTTGAAGAATTGGCATTTCAACAATTTGTAGTTATAAACCAAACATTACTGAAAATCAAATGACATTATCAAACAGAAGAGCCTTAATTATCATTTAACAATCTGTGTGTAAATGCACAATATAAAACTGTAATTAAAAAAAACTAATTATTAACATTCATCATTGTTTTAGAAAAAAATGCTTTTTTTGTTCACAAAATAAACTTAATATTATGTGCTTCTGAAATTATAGGAAGTTTTTAATTTATAGTTACCATGAACATTTTACCCTTAGAAAAATACACATTTTGAGCATAGCTTTCTTTTCAGGCTAGTTCTAGATACAAAGGGAATAAAAAGGAAATTTTAAATTTGGATTTGATAAGAGAATATGGTTTAAGAAAGTGTTTCTGAGGATCAAAGCACAATTCTTTCCTTTGATTACTAGAATGCAAAAGCCAGCTGTAGTTCCATTAGGGAATATGAAATGTCTGAGGCTTCCTTAAAAAAATATTAACCTTTTCATTATTTCTAGATGTTGCACTTCCAAAAAGCACATAACATTTCATTTCTGATTTAATTGATTAAGATAATTACAGTTAGCTCTTTAGGATGATCTACCCAAATGCTAAGAAATAAATGTGAAAAATAAAGTAGTAGTTAATGCCCTCTTACTTCCTTTTAATATCTTTAATTTGATTCTAGAATACTATTAACTGCATACGTAGTTTAATTTGCTGCTGCAGGACTCTTAACCATACCCCTGGTTATTTCTGTGTTAAAACACACAGTCACTGCTAAGGACGGGTAGCATAACCAGGACACTAATGACCCTTTTATCTCTGTATTTATTTGTCCACTATCTGAAAATGCAGTTAATTTTGATCTTGCATTTTAGAGAAGACATGTTAACAAATTCATGATTATAATTCAAAGTAAAAAGCTCATTGTTAGTTTAATATTTCACGTCTTGATCAGAAATCTGTTAGTGAATTACTAGTTGAGACAGAATATTAAGTGAAATATTAAGGTAATTCAAACAGATTATAATTTAACATTATCAATCAACAATAAAGCTAACAAGTCAGAACATGTAGGTCAAAAAAATTCATTTGAGGTAATTAAGTCATTAATTATCAAATTTCTCCTTAGTACATTATTATCAGCAGGATATAAACAGCATTTTACTATCCATTCATAGTCTTTTAATATTTGGAATCATACAAATAAGACACATACACACACACATATATATATTATTGTAGGTAGATATCTTACACCCATTATTCAAGGGTAATAATTACTAACTTCATAGATCACCATGCACCAGGGCCTTAATAAATACTGTATGTCTCATGCTGAAAGAAATGTTTTTTGTAGCTTTCAATGTGGGGAATAATTGCCGAGCTATTAATGTGCACTCTGGCCTTGCCTGGTACTTCTGTCCTTGTTTTAAGAACACTCAAGAGGACAGGAGGCACCGTGGTCCTGTCCCATAGGAATGAGGTCTAGGAGAGAGGCGAGCAGCTCTGTGGGGGATGGACAAGAGCAATGGCGCAGTAGGAGAGCCGCTAGGAGAGGAAAGAACCACCTGAATCGAGAAGGGGATGGCGGATGCTCCCGGGAACAGCAGAAGCTGGGCGGCCCCTGGGGGTGGCAGCAGGGGGAACCCGAGCTGCCGGGAGACAGGAAAGAACCGCCTGAATCAAGAAGGGGATGACGGATGCTCCCGGGACCAGCAGAAGCTGGGTGGCCCCCGGAGGTGGCAGCAGAGGGCAACGGTTCATGATGACCCTACAGAGGGAGGCTGGCCTCTAGGTCTGCGAAGCTGGGCCACAGCAAAGACGTCCCGGGTGAAGCTTGTCACAAAAGTAGACTGGTGTGCCTCCATGGCATCATGAAAGCCTGGGTCCGGGGCACATCAATCAAGAGCAGTGTGGACTGAAGCCAAGAACAGGCCTCTAGGCCTGTCCTGGGATGCACAAGAGCCTGGGGAACTTGTGATTTGGGAGGCAGGGAATCCCCAACAATGACTTCCTTTAAAGCTGATTCTCACCGCTCTCAAAAGGGATGGCTGCTTCAGATTTAACTAAGGTTATAATTTAAGAGCTATTTTTTGCATGTAAATGTTCTCACAAGTAAAATTCACCCCAGTCATAACAATCACTTGTCTTGAAAAAGGTAATGTGACCTAAGCAATAAAGAAACTCTTGATTTCAATTCTTGTAAAATAAAAATTTCTAACTATATAAATAATCCTCTATATGCCTAGAATCAATTAGTCTTAAATTATTTTCTTCACTTAAGCTTGGGAAATTGTTTGGAGGCTCTAAAGCCAGGAAAAAACTGGTCTCTTGAGGAACAGATAGTTCCTCTACATTTAAAAAAAGGAGAACAAGTGAACATTATCATTCATCAAATTGGTGGCTTTGATCTGGCCTATTTTCTACTTACTACTTTTTATTTGCACCAATACAAGAAAACTCAGGGTTAAAATCTCTTATATACTATTATCTATTAATACCTTATCCTCTGACTTACTTTGTCTTTTTTACTAAAATGCTCATCACTGATATTACCTCAAATCCTTTTAGAAAGGATAAAAATAATGAAATACTATGGGGGGGATTGTGAACTTAAGAAAAAATTTATACTGTTTGTGTTAACATATCATGTTACCTTCAGAAATGTCAGTGCTAGGGTACAGGGCTAATGCCTACTTTATTGGCATGAATATTTATTTCTTATGAGAGACTGCTCATACTGTAGCAGAACTTCTATGGTTATCAAAGTCCATATTAACAAAAAGCAACAAGAAGTCAAGTCCTAAAGCCTATGTAGCAAACAAAAGAAAAGGGTAGATTGTATGTTCTTAGAGGTATAGTGTTAGATGTTACCAAGGTCCATTCAAGTAGTTTAAATCCAGGAGGAACCCTGAGAAATTACTTTTAAAAACTGTAACTAAAACAGATGAAAGTAGATAATGACACCCATATCCCACTAATTAGATTTAATACTTGCTAACTTTTTACCATAAGAAATTATTTTTTATATAATTGGAAAAGCTTTTTGATAAGCGTTCCAAAGCTTATTAGACATGTCTTCCTTGAGTCAATACTGTGAATTCTAAATAGCAAATATTTTAGTTATTTGGCACATCAGCCAATTTGGGGGGACACTACCCTACTTCATGACAACAAAGTAGAACAACTAAAGTAATGGTTTCCAACGATGGCCACTGAAAGTCTTAAGCACATACAACACAGAAATCTGGGAAAAGAATGACTATAGGTACAGAGAAAAACCAGTAATGTAGCAAAGCACAAAAATTAAAATGCAGTAGAGAAATGACCATGGGTGTTAAATACTTCCATCACAGAAATGCTAAAACTATCTAATCATTTCTAACCTGGCTAGAAACGGAAACTGGGGGATACTGATCATGGTGTACTTTAGGGGGAGTTAGACCACAAAATCTGCTGCTGGATGGCATGCTTTATGTACAGACAACCATAAGGAATTATTAATTTTTAAACTCTTTCCTATCAATACAACTCTTAGTGGGAAAGAGTAAGAAAAAAATCTTATAGCTAATATTATAAATCAAAATGTAGGCATTCAAAGTGCAGTATAGACATGGACTCAGGATGAAATTACAAACCTTTAAAGGTCTTTAAGAATTAGAATGTTTTTCTTAAAGGTAACTACAAAGCCAGCTGCAAGAGAAAAAAATAATTTAACAGAAAGGTCTCTGTGGCTTTGGCTAGGGAAGGAAAGCATTGTGTGGCAACTCTCCTTCTCACACAGACATAACATCTTTGGTCTGGTCTCCTGGTAGGTCACTAACCTGGCTGATGTACCTGTGTTTTTTCTCATGAGGCCCAGAAATGCAGAGATAACAACTGGGACAATGAAAAGAAAACACGTCTCTGGAGATTAATTAGACAGGAAGAGCTTTATTAATGAACTTCAGCAAAGACTGAATAAGTATCTAAGGGACTAACTGAGGTAGAAAGAAAGGAGTCCACATTGGGCAAAAGCCAGGAAAAGGAGCTAAAAGGTAGAAATGAAAAAGCACACACAAATTCAGAGGGAAATGCATGTGCCTTCCCCCCACTGGAACCAGAGCAAAAAAAGCATACACTCACATTTTCCAAGTCTAAATTAATTATAGTTATTGCCATGAAGGAAGCCACAGGACATACCAATTGACAAAAAATTGAGAAAACTCCTTTCTGTATCAAGTCTGTTATACTACACGTTTATACTAAGAAGATTCTATACCTGGAGAAATACTGTTCCAAATCAAGTAAAACAGTAATAAAAGAAACACTTGGATTTGAAAATGAAAAGAACTCCTTAGTAAAATAAAAGCAACACTTTCAATTGTTCTGGTTCCTTGCTTTAAGGGACATTTTTTAAAAGTTCTGAGATTAAAAATGTGCTACCAAACTGCACAGTACTCTGAAAAAAAAAAAAGTTGAGGCATTTTCTAATATTGTCTCTTGCCAACTTACTTCAAAGAGATGCTGTAAAGGATTGGACTGGAGTTTTTCTTCATAGCCGAACAGTTGGAAGCCAGTTCCCAGAAGACCTACCATAATAATTCATGTATGAAAAAATCATAAAATGGAACAGTAGAGAATAGTCATGGCAGGAAACAGGTCTAGTTCTATGAAGAGGTCAACCTCTCCTAATTATGTATCCTGAGAACTTTGCAAAACACATGCTATCACCTTCTGCTACCCCATCAATTGAAAAGAGTCAAATTCAATATACCAAATTGCAGATTCAATATGCTGAATAGATTACTGAAATTAATTTCACAGAAACCAGTCAACTATGAGCTTACCAAAGGCAGGGTCTAGGACCTATTTATCTTTGTACTAACAGTGCCCAACACCTCCCTGGCAGGCATTAATAAAACAAGTATTTATTGAGCAGCTGCTACTCTGGGGAAGGACATCATGATGCTTAGGTGCTGGGCATACAAAATTTGTGAGAACAAACTGATGGGAAGTTATCTCAGAACTTTCTTTTTAAACTTGTAGATGTTAAAATAAAACAAAGGTAGGAACTGGCTTGGTGTTATACTATTTGTTCTTAAGGAAGTAACTGAAGGAAAACAATAGAAGACAAAACTTGAAACATCCCTCATTACTCCCAAGTGACCAAGCAATGAAATTCTTTTATCTGGTCATATGTTTGTCTTTTACGTGTCTTTTTAATTTTTTTTAGTCTTTAATGGTAAGTTTAGCATTCAGAGATAGTGTTAATTTGAACCTTTTTTTTCCCCCTAAAGTAATGGAGATTTCTAAACTAGCGATGAAAATTCCTAATATGGGCTGTGAATATTTATATCCTAGGATATCCTGCTAGAAGATGATCACAATTTCAGTTTGAAAAGATAGTTGCAGCCTGGGGAAAAGAGCAATAAAAGGCAGTTTAATTATTTAAAAAATCAATCTGTTTCCACACTATCAGCCACAAAGCTTCAGGTCTAAAGGAGCTTTGTCACTGAGCCTTGCTGCCATACATTTTTCTCTACAGGTTCTGCAGAAAGTGTAATGAATGCTGCTGAGCACAGGGTTATTACAATACTCTGGAGGAACTAGAAAGATGACTGAAATATATGTACCAGCTCTATTCACTTTCAGCAAGAGCAAATGTGATTATGATTCAGGGTCTTGGGAGCAGGGTGTGGCAAGATGCCCAGTGTTCTAAAAAACAGAAACCGGAAGAGTAAAGGCCAATTCCATTTAACATTCAACCTAATATATTTTCAAAAACAAATTCTGTGATTAGGAACTGTCTGCCAACTTTCAATAGTGGAGAGCTAAAAGGGCCCAAATTAAAGCTCTTCAACAATGATGGTTATAATGCAAAGGTGGACGGCTCATTAACCATAGTAGTCCTTTAGAGAAAAACCGCAATAATAAAATTCTGCAGCTAAAGTTTAATGATGACGATAATCACACATTTGTCTCTATCTTTGAAAGGCCTAAATTAAGTCAAACTAACATATAGCAGGTGCCATCTATTAAATCTGACTGCTGGGCTTAAGGCCTAAGCCTGACTCCCAGCTGTTGTGAACTGCGGGTGAATTTTTAAAATGCAGGGCATGTTTTCTGACTCCTCCACAGTGAAAAGTGAGGGCACTGTTAGCATGTTCAAATTCAACCCTTTTTAGGATCTAAAAAAGATTTTTATTAACTGAAAGGGTAATATTCATAAGAGAAGACCATGACAAATCCTTTTTTGGGGAACCTGACTTCATCTCACTAGGTCTGGAGCAGTCTGATCAGTGAACTTCACAGTACTGGTGGCAGTGCACACTGCACTTTTTAGAAGCTTTAAATTTTACTGAGCTTTTCTTCTGGATTAGTGTTGTAAAACACTTCGAGGGACACATTCATTCGTCATTCTGAGTGTTTCTTATGTGCCAAGTGCTATGGATGCAAAAGTAATTAAGATATACAGTCCATGCCTTCAAGGAATATATCATCTAGCCGGGGAGAGAAGCACACAAGCAAGAACACAGACACCTACTTGGGTAGAGCTGGGAACTAGGGATTTGTGATGTGAGGTGGGCAAGTGTGTGTCTGTGTGTCAGAGACACTGGGGCTGGATCTTACAACACACATAGGAGTTGCCAGAGATTTTCGGTTTGCATTTCGCATGCTACCAGTCCTTCGTTATCTTACCGACTTCCTCTGCCTTGCCCTTCTACACCTTTACTACTGGTGTATACGAGCTAGGAGTGGTTCTGAGTAAACTCTTGACGCTAGAGATAATTTGTGACACTCACCTGAGTCTCATTCTTTTCTTTTTGATCGTGTCACTGTACAATTTTAGGGAAAGCCAAAGTATATCACTTTGTTTTTCCTCTAGGCCACTGGCCCAGGGTCTAACAACAGATCACCCTTCATAGAGGATGGCCCAGGGAGGCTAGACTTCACTTGTTTGAAAAATGGTGGGGCTGTGGTTCACAAGGGTATACTTAGCTAGACTTATTTCTTCCCTGCGTACTCACTTCTCCATTTAACTAACAGTATAAGCTACTTTTCTTTAATAAAAGTGTAAGAGCCTGTATTTATCAGGTTGTTCTGAATGTGCGAAGTCTTCTCCCCCAAAACTTGTGTAGTGAGAATTACTTCAATAAATAGAATATAAGATTCATACAAAAGAGCCACTAGGAAAAAAAATGGGTAGGAGGCCTTACTGTATCCACTGGGATCCTGCCTATACTCTGTCCAAATGATCAAGTGACATAACAGTAAAAGAAATTAAACTTTGCCGTGAAATGAAAAATAAAATCTCACATTTACTTACCAAACTGCATGCCCCAATCTCCAAGGTAATTTATTCTGGTTACTTGATGCCCTAAAGCTTCTTTGAGATTTGCTATAAAATTTCCTAGAAATCAATAAAATATAGTTTCTCATTTTTTGGCTGTTTTGGCTTAAGAAGCATGTGCTTCTCTGTTATCAAAGCATAACACAGAAAATTCTTTTAGCAAAATTTACCAACTCAGTTCTTTTTCACTAAACGTTCACCTATTGTGTTTTCATCTATGTTATGGAAAGGAAGTAAGGAATTATTTTGGGGGCAGTTATTCCAAACAATCTCAGTTTTCACAAGAAGAGAATTTCCACCAACATTAGTAGGAGTTGGGAACACATGTTAGAGTAATTGCTGTTTCAAGTCAATTCCAAGGACAGAAAATAACAGAATCTCAGTAATTAACAAGAAATAATTTGGCTGTGCCCTAAAGAATCTGAGCCATACTGGCCATTTTCTCAATAGCGCACTCCACCTCTTTCAAACACTGAAGTCCATCTTCGCACGCCTGCTCTCTGACAGCACACAGCAGTCCCAGGCCCTCCCCTTCATGCCCTGCTGATACAGGTTTGATAGTCAGCATCTCTCCTGCTCTCCTTCTAGTGTGCCCTCACATACTGCGGAGGCTGGAAACCTACAAATTCTATTGCCCACAATCTCTGTAGTTAGGGTTCCGGAAGTCATTTAGGTGTTGGCAATCAGATACACTGCATGTGAGATAGCGAAGGCAGAAGTGGCATGGAAGGGGAGCTGGAAGTGCAGTTGTGGAGGCTTTGTGTGTTGAGGGGGCATGACTTACAGTGGGCCTAGTGCTCTGCCATGTGACCTCCAAGGGAACCAAATGACAGAGCACGGGGCCGCCTCTGCTGCTACTATGAAGTCTAGAAGGCATGGCGGGGCTAGTAGCAGTTTCCAGACTGTAGCACTGGCAGCTTGGTTCTGCAACAGCGGAAGTGGTTGCAGAAAAGAAAGAAGCTCCCTTGACGATAAAGTTCTATGGCACAGTTTTGGGAGGCATTTATGTCAGCTTACTCCAGAGCTTCTTCAGCATTTCCAGCAACTCTGTAAAGTACTTAATATCCTTTAGTAAATCCCTCCCTGTGTTTACAAGCATGGATCTAGTTTTCTGCAAATAATCCCTCAGCAATATGCATACCTGACTTAAATTACTGCAGCTACTTTCCTTCCGGCTTCCCTACTTCTAGACTTCCTCAGTCTATATAGTCCCAGCAACAGGAACCACCCTTCCTCAGCTGTTGCTTGGACTGCATTCCTATTTTTAATTAGTATCTTATTACCTTATAAATCCAACTAACTGACTGAACCCAGACTTTTGCAATTAGACATGGAATTAGAATTTAGAATTGGCTATGATACTTAGAACCATGTGATTTCAGAAGAGTTACTTTTGGTATCCTACCAAAGTTAACAGTATTTACCAAATGGGCTGTTGTGAAACTAACTGAGCTAACACGTGAAAACATTTGACACGGCAAGTAAGTTCTCAATAAATATGATATTTTCCCAGTGGAACTATTTCCCTTAACAATTAGAAAACAACTTTATCACGTTTGACCCTTCATGTACTCCCTATACTTCTAACTTACTTATGTAGCTTTTATTATATAGTATATTTCTAACACTCTTTTTTCATCAACTCCTGTCATCTCCTATCTAAGAATGCTGCTTGAGAACTTTGTAACAATAAGGGCTGACTCCAGTTCAGTAATAATCAATGACAAAGTACTGATTTCTCTAATTCTTAGAAGTATTCAAGTATTAGTTAAATGACTTTCTCTTAAGGATTCAACAGACTTCTATACTGGAAGAAGATTAAATGAGATAATAAGTTCAAAGTCTGTTTCAATTCTGATATTATACAATTCTAATTGCCATTTCTTGACTGGGCTGCTACATCACGTTTTAAGTAAATTAAAATCATAAGCAGATACACTTAAGCACTGTAACTATGAAGTCTGACAGTAATCTCTTTTTTCTTTTTTTTTTTAAATGAGGGAAAGCGCGAACGCAGTCCCCCACTATCACAAATTATGCAGTCCAGTTTTCCTAGTAATCTCTTTTTAGTAGAATAGTCTTTTGTTTCAATTTCCATTCTTAAAACACTCCAGTTAATACTCACATTACTCAGATTGAGTTTCTTTTTTTAGAAATTGAGATAAAATTGACATAAAACATTGTTTCTTTTTAAAACAACATACATGAACAAAAAAACTATCATCTCCTAAAACTATTTTCTTTTTTGCATCTTTTAGATCTTCTAGACACACATAAATTTTTAAAAAGTTAAATCATAACAAGCATACCAGTTAAAATTGGTTTCTAAGTTTATCTTTCGGTTTTGAGACAGATTTATTTTTTCCACTTCTAGACCAAATTTTCCCATTTCATGTAATGTATTTAGTTAGTATTAAGCTTGCACAAAGTTGAACATTTTTTTTTTGTCTGGTTATTAAAGTATTTCACCCTGTCATTTAAGCATGAAACCAGTAGACTGCATCATCAAATACTGCCCAAAAGTCACAGGTAGTATTTTCTGTGAAACTAATAACACTTACCTATGATGGTAGAACGCAAATGTCCAACGTGAAATCTTTTGGCAACATTAGGTGAGCTGCAAATAATTGCAAAAGTTATATTTCTGTTCTAAGAACAACAGTTTTAATATAAACTAGGTCATGCCTCCACAGTTTAACACAACCGAGGACTAAGGCCTTTGGTAACTGAAGGCAAAAATAACTTAAAAATTAGAAACTTAAAGCAAAGACAAATCAGAACCCAGAAAGAATCACACTTGGTGAAACTGATGCTGTGATGCAGGAGGTGGCCCCATACACAGAAATGGTACTCAGGGAACAGAAACACTTAGGGATTGAGAGAAAGATGAAACAATTCAGAGAGAACATTTTTTTTTAATGCTACATAATTTATTGAGAGTTTGTTCTGTACTAGACACTGAACTGAACTATACAATTGACTTACGTATTTAATCTCATATCATCTTCTGAACAAACTTCTGAAGATAGAATTATAATTCAATTTTATAGGTTCTATAAACAGAAAACAAGAGAAGTGAGAATTGCTGAAGCTCACAATGAGATGGTGGAAAAATTTAAATCAGAACTCAGACCCCTGGTTCCCAGTGCTGCGCTCCTTTCCTTCCTTCCTTCTGTCCTTCTTTCCTTTTTAAAATCGTATCGCATATGGGATAAGTCATAAAGGAGGAGCTGGTTGATATGTTTTTCTTTAGCCATAGAACCTTTTCAGCTTGGTGTCCAGGTTTTTAAGGGAATCTCTCACTACCAAGTTTTTATTTTTTTTTTTGAGAAGGCATCTCTCATATTTATTGATTAAATGGTTGTTAACAACAATAAAATTCTGTATCGGGGACTCAATGCACAGTCATTAATCAACCCCAAGCCTAGTTCTCAACAGTCTCCAATCTTCTGAAGCACAGAGAGAACAATTTTATACAAACAATGTAGATTATTGGGAATTAATTTAGCATACCAGTTTGCAAACCTTTTATCCTCTTAAAAATTGCTGAGGATACAAAAGAAATTTTGTTTATATGGGTAGTATCTGCCAGTATTTACTCTATCAAAAGTTAAAAGTTGAAAAACATAAAAGATATTTACACATAAAATTTCCAGAATAATCAGAAAAATGATTCACCACTCCAAACTCTCAATCAACACATTGATCACACTTTATTGTACATAAAGTACAGTGGAATCAGTATTTTACAATACCAAATGCTTTTACAGCATTCACTACCTGATAAGTATGCACTTAACATTCATTATTACACTTAATATGCATAAAAGCTGTGAGGTAAGGAACTTTCACCTCTTATTTTACAGACGAAGGAACTGAGACAAAAAAGAACAAGATAATGAGCAAACTGTATCTTGATGACTCTTGAATCTGGGTGATAAGCACATAGGACTTAATCACATTTTTCTCTCTGTGTATGATGAAAATTTTCTAAGTTTTTCAACATTAAAAAAAGATAAACCAACTTGAACATAGCTGGCTAAAAGTGGTAAAATTAGATATTATTTTGGTCTGTCTCTAAAGCCTTGTTATATAATCTTTTTAAAGGGTATTACAATTGAAAAAGTTGATCTTACATAAACATGTCCATAATTGTGAAAGTATTAAACCTCAAGGGTGTTCAGTTAATTATTACTTAGAAAGAAAGTAAACATCCTTCTATACAGTTGAAAAATAAGGGAGACTGGATTAAAGATGACATCCTGAGAGGTGAGACAGAGACCTCCTCCTAAAACCACATATAATATGAAAATATAATTAATACAACTAATCCTGAAAGAGCAACAGGAAAGAAGGCTGTGACAGACTGCATACACCTGGAAAAAAGAACAGACCTCCCGTGACAGGGTAACGTACCAAAGCCATGACCCAGCAGGATCCAAGCCCTTCTCTCACCCCAGCTCACGGGTGGGAGGAAGAGAAACAGAGCGGGGAGGGAGTGGAGGCCTGGGACTGCTGAACATCTAGCCCTGGAGATCTGCTCTGGGAGCAAGAACCTACATTGCATGGTGCTTTGGTGATTAGTGGGGATGGAAAGCTAAGACAGGCAGAATACCTGAAGAGAATGAGATTCCAGCTGCTTGTGGAAAACAGGGATCCATACCTGGCTGATCTGGGTGGACAGTCTGAGAGACTTCCTAAAAGTGAGATGGCTGCTAAAGCGGCAAGGATTGCACAGAACATACTGCTTAGGAGAAAGGACAAGGAGACAAAATTGTCTGGGTGCACTCTGCCCAGAAGGTTGGGAACTTTCATGATCTT